TCGGAGCCCTGGCAGGGGGTGCTGGCTGGGCCGGGGATTCAGAGCTGGGGTACCGGCTAGACCGGGACGTCGGAGGTAGGGGAGAGGCTGGGTGCGTTGGGCTGCGGTCTCAGAATTCTAGTGCATGCTGGTGGGGGATTCGGAGCTCGAGGGTCAGCTGGTTAGGCAGGGTGGGGACGGAATCCCCAGAGAGATGGCTGACCGGAAGTCCGGGAGCCCATGTGGGTAAAGCTCCGTTGCCAAGCTACGTGGGCCAAACCGGAAGCGAACCGAAAATGATCGCGTCCCGCTTCCAGCACTGCCACTCTGCGCCTGCGCGGCCAGAGCCCCTCTCCAGCCGGTGGGCGTGTCCGCCCCGGGGAGGGTCTGTCTTTGGAGGTCTCGATTATTCTCCACGCCCACCATCGCCCGCACTGGGCGCTAACACCCCCAGCACCTTCCTGGGCCCAGTGTAGCCTACCGGGAGGAGTCCATCACAGCCCATCTGGGTCTGTGGCTGCTGAGGAACCCCAGGGAGAGCCAAGGAGAGAGTGTCGCTAGGGTTAGCAATGAGGAGAAACCCTTAGTGCAGAGCTGCACCCCACGCCCAACTTTAGGGCAGTGAGAGGCACCCGGACCATGCTGAGCAGAGGCGAGCTTGGTGCCATCCCAGGGCCCCGCAGCCTTGGAGGGTGGAAGCGGAGACTGGCTGGGCAGAGGGGTTCTGTGGCTGAGGGGCCGCTGCCCTGGGATGACACTGCTCCCTCCCTCCATGTCCTCTGTGCAGGCCGCGGCCCAGAAAGCCAGCACACTCCTAGACACAGGGCAGCCTGGACAGGCGTTGGGATACTGCTCACTGGCTGTCCTAGCTGGGGGCAGCCTTAGCTGTCACCTGCGTCTGCGGGCCAGCTGCTTGGGTGAGCTGCAGCAGTTTGGCCGGGCCCTTGGGGACCTGGACCGCGTGCTGCAGGAGGGTGCCGGGGACAGTGACCTCCAGGGACGAACAGAGGACTTCTGCTCCAGGGGTCGCCTGCTGCTGGGCCTGAGGGACGTGGAGGGAGCTGCAGAGGCCTTTGCCCGGGCCCTGGAGCTATCACCTGCTCTAGCTCAGCACAGCCTGTGGGAGCGGCCAGGCCCGGCCCCTGTTGCCCAAGCGTTCCTGCATTTTGGGCAGCGCTGCCTAGAGAAACAGCGCTACGAAGAGGCCTGGACAGCGGCCCAGAGTGGCCTCCTGGTGGATCCTAACCACTGTGGGCTGAAGAAGCTGAAGGCAAGAACCCAGAAAGAAGCGTCCTCTGGCTGCAGGCTGCACTGACACAGCCAGGCCTGACCACAGGGCCCCTGTCTTTCTCATATTGGGGTGCACTGGCTCCCAGATCACTGAGGTGCCCTCTCCACCTGTCCCCCTCTAGCCCTAACACAGCTGGCATTGACAGCCTTTTCCGGAGGAATTAAGGGGAGAAAGGGAGAGCTTCCTGATGGAGAGAGCCCTGCCCGGCTGACATCAGCCCCCACCACAGTGGGCAGCCTCACCCCGCAGTTGTGCCTTGGCCCAGGCCTTGAAGCTGATGGGGTCTGGACCCAGCCTGGGGGCCCTGCAGGTTCGGTGGCATCCAGGGCAGTCCCTGTAGCTCTGGGGAAGATGTGCCAGCCCACGTGGGCCCTCTGGTCACAAAACTGCCTTTGACTCAGCCCTGACCTGAGGCCCTGTGAGGCAAGAGTCCACCCCAGGCATTCCCCTCCCTTCCACACAGACCTAGGCTTCTGCTTGGCCTGTGTTCTGACCTCCAGGTCAGAATGTGTTCTCCCCATGGATTAAATTTCCCTGGCAGGGTAACACATTGTACTAAATATGTAAGGTCGTATCTACGTGGGTTTGATTATAGAAACTAATAAAGTATTCTCTAAATAATGAAAAAAGAATAAGATAAGACTATAAGAGCGAGAAGCAATTTAAATATGTTCAGGGACCATTTTCATCTCCAGAATTAAGGATTATTTTAATGCTACATCATTGCCTTTTCTCTTTTACTTTCCTTTTTAGTTTTATTTTAGGATTCCCTATTTTTAATGTTCATACAGAGAGTTCTTTAACTGAAATACTGAATAGTTTCTTTGGTGTGAAAAACTATAATAGTACACAGGATCCTAATGAGATAATTAATAATGTGAAATAGGAAGTAAAGGGCTAAAGGTGTAGGGAAAGTGGGAAGGGTGGGGGAAAGGTAATAAGGGAGAGGAAAAAACTATGAGAAACTGAAAAAATGGAAATAAAGTGTTTGTAAATGGGGAGGGGAGGAGGGGGTGAAGGGAGGGCAGGGAGAAGGGGAAAAAATGAGAATCAAGACCTATTATGTAAAGGTTCAGAATCCCAATAATGAATGTAATTGTATTGTATACCTAGATTGTACCAATAAACTCAATAAAAAGAAAAAAAAATTTCCCTGGCAGTTGTGCTTCCTGCCAGTGTGTTCAGAAATCCTGGCCCTGTCCTTCCTAGCAGTCCCCTGAGCTGCAGGAGGGGCAGAGACAGCGCCTGTGTCCCCAGGGGGTGCCCTTCATGCCCTCCCACCGGGGGCTTCCTGCCCTGTTGGTCCACGCAGGGAGATCGGGGAGCTGGTCGCACCAGCTGAGTCACCTCCAGGGCCTCCCCGCCTCTCCCGGCCCACTGGCATTTCCTGGCCCCTAGGGACAGCAGTGCTGTCCAGCTCACCTTGCAAGGACCCTGGGTCAGCCTTGCCCACCTGGCACCTTCCTGTGGCCCCCAAAATTCATATTGGATTCTCACCCTCACCGGGATGGTATTAGGCTGTGAGGCTTTTGCGAGGTGTTCAGGACCTAAAGAATGGGGTTTATGCCTTTGTGAGAACCCAGAGAAATGGGCATGGTGCTTCAGCCTGTAATCCCAGCTATGCAGGAGGCTGAGGCAAGATTTCAAGTTCACAGCCAGCCTGGGAAACTCTATCTCAAAATAAAAATGGCCTGAGGGCATAGCTCAGGGGTACTTGACTAGTGTGTGTGTGTGAGGGTGTGTGAGGGTTTGATCTCTAGGATCCCAAACAAAAACCCAGAGAGACTTTTTCCCGCTCCACAGCATAGGGACACAGTGGGAAGGCACTGACTATGACCCAGGCTGCACTTCCTGCCATGCCAGCCTTGTTGCCAGATCCCCTTAGCCCCCACAGTAGTAAAGAAGACATTTCTGTCACCGATGAGCCACCCAGTGGTAGCTGGACACAGTGGGCCAAATGGCCCCGCCTACCTCCTGTGTTCTGCCTGCGGACCAGGCACCTGAGGACAGGAACAGAGGCTTCGCTACATAGCACCCTCCCCTCTGGGTCCAGCTGGGCTTGCCCGCCCTGGGCCTGTGCAGGTCATGCAGCCACAGCTCCTCCAAACTCAGTGGAAGGGTCCTGGACAAGAGTGCACTGTCTGGGGTCCACCTCAGGGCCGGGTCCAGTGGCTCATGCTCTGCAGTTCCACCCCACTCCCTGGGAAGCGCAGCCTGACCCCAGGTCTCTGCTGGAGGTCCAGGAACCAGCCCACGTGTGCAACGACAGTAGCCCTGGATTCAGTTCTTTCCTCTGCCTCGCTAACTGTGGCCCCATGGCATCTAGATTTCCCAGCCAAGGACAGTGCTGATCACTGAGCTCAGACCGAACTGCAGGCCACCACGTTAACAAGCCTGCCTTCATTCCAGGTCCACCACCACCAAGGTGGCCGTGGAGGATGGGCAGGGCCTCCTTGGCACCTGGCCCAGGTGTGTTGAAGGTTTGGGAAAGGTCGTGCCCTCTGACTTGGGAACACACTGCCTCCACCAGGAGCTCAGAGTCCAGGAATTTGGAATCCTCAGCTTCGTCTCAGCCAACAAGACACCCCTGTTCCATATTTCAGGGTCCCATTCCTTCCAAATCAACACCCCAACTTCTCAAGAGAACTTGGCCGGGATGAGTTCACGGCCCACATTAGAATCCCACTTGAGGCAGGAGGAAGCCTGCAGGCCACTCGAAGTCTCAGCACTGAGGCTGCAGGAAGCCAGGGCAAGGATCTGGCACTGGTCCTGGCACTGAGGGGAGGTGGGGCGTCCCCTCTCTCCACCATGGCCACCTCCTTGGACCCCTGGGCCGAAGCTCTCCACACTGTACAGCTACTACCCCATCGGGCGCACAGGCTCTTGACCTCCCCTCAGTGAAAGGATTAGAACCTGCCCTCAGTGTGCTGGGCCGCAGTCCTGGGACGGTGGGTGTGTTTGCGTGTGCTGCACACACACACAGAGCACAGGGCTGGGCTCTGCAGCCTGCTCTCCCAGCTTCGCTGGGCTGCTGGGTGCCAGGCCAGGACTCCCGGCCTCTGGTCCACGTCTACCCGAGGGGAGGGCCCAGGACCCGGGAAGCCCCCAGCTTGGGGAGGGAAAGTGGGCTCAGAGATGGGCTGGCATCTGGGTCCCAGGCCGGGAGGCTCAGGGTCCAGGGAAGGGACCCCAGCCAGCCCAGCTGGGCCCAGGCTCAGTCCCCTAGAAAGTGAGGGCCAGTTTGAGGCCCATCCTCAGAAGTCCCCTGACCATAGCATGGAAGCTTCTGACATGGGCGCTGTTTGCCCCATGATGCCTGGTTCTGTGGCCTGGTGCCACCCAGCCCTCTTGCAGAGCCAGGCCCCAGGCAAAGGAAGGAGGAAATGCGGGGCAGGGGACAGATCAGAAACAACCAAGATGGGACCGGAGAAGGGTGCCCCTGGGTTTCTGGGTGGGCCTGCTCTGCTCAGACCTACACCCCATCAAGACTGGGTCTGGATCATGAGCTGGGAAGCCTGGGTGCCCCCGGGTGGGGACAACCTGCAGCCCTGCTTGCCCCATTGTGAGCAGGAGTCTCCTCTCCACCTGGAAAGGCCCCAGGCCACCACAGTGCAGTGGAAGGGGGAGGACACCTGGCCAGGGCCTGTGGTGCCCCTTACCGACATCTCCCAGCCAGGTGGGTGGGGTGGACCAGGACAGGACCGCCCCCCCACCACCACGGAACTCCTGACTGAGGGTGTGGCTGCCTCCAGGCATCACAAAGCAGGCCGGAAGCAGTGCGGCCCCACCTCCCTCTGCTGCTCTCCTAGACAGGAACCCACCCCTTGGTCAGCACACCCCAACTCCAGGACCCCCCAACCCAGCCTTCAGGGACCTGCTGTGGGTGGTGACCGCTCCCAAGTGACGGAAGGGTAAGGTTTGCTGAGTGTGTGGCTGTCTGGCCTGCTTTCCTGGGCAGCACCTTGAGGACACCCTACTGGAGGCCAGTCCACTTCTCACAGACCCGACACTTCCCAGGTGGCTCACCTGTCTGTTTCCCTGCACAACAGCCCAGAGAGATGCCTGTGCCATCTCCGGGCCATGGGACCTTGGCTGCCAGGGTTCAGGATTACCACATGAAGTCTGCGCACTGCCCTACTGGCTCTGGCCTGGGTCAGCTGGCTCCATTTAAAGGATTTCACTGTGGGAGTGTCCACCCCATGGGAAGGCGGGGCAGTTGAAGGAGTTGTCAGAATGCAGGAGTGAGTTTGATTCTAAGCAAGGAGGTACAGTGTCGGTGCAACCTGAGAGGCTCCCTCACAAGTCACTTCACACACCCCCTGGGGTCTCAGCCCCTGGGCAGATTGTGGATGCCCAGGCAGTGGGCACTAGTCCAGCTGGGGAGGAAACAGGAGCGGGTCAGTACCAGTAGAACAGTGACTATGAGGCCCAGCAGAGGAGGGGCTGAGGCTTTTTCAGTTGTACCCAGAAGCCAGGTCAGGAAAGACCCCCCCCAGGAAAGGTGACTTTAGAGAGGACCTAGAGGTGGACGGTCCTTACAGAGAGGCCTGCAGAGGGGGTGCCTGAAGGGCAGTGGCAGTCACAAGGGTCATCTCACCCTGAGACGAGAACAAGTTCCAGCTGCTCCTCCAGGAGGCGTGGGTGCAACATCCCCTGTTTAGGGGCCCCTCGGGAGAAGTGGGGGCAGACCCTTAGGAGGCTGTAACATGTGGGGTGGGCTTGGGGCAGGCTGTGGGGGCAAAAATGAGAGGACAGCAGACCTGGGAGAACTGGGGCCTCGGGGCTGGATGGGCATGGGGTGGTATGATGGGTCCAGGGTGACTTCAGGGTTTGGCAGCAGCAACTGGGAGATGGGGTTGTCTTGGGGCAAAGGACCTGTTCGGGAACTTCCTGGGGTTCCATGGCTGCAGGCGCTAAGCAGGGGAGCCCTGCAGACCAGGGGAGGCCAGAGGCCACCCATTCCCAGGAGGCTGAGGGGACACAAGACTATGTCACAGCCCTGCTCAGCACCCTGTCGGGGACCTGAAGAGACCAGGGAACACGCAGCCCTTCAAGTCAGGCACAAGGCGGGTGATGCCAGACGGGGTGAGAGGAACGCCTGAGGCCCTGTGAGTTGGGCAGAGCCCTGGCCAAGCCCAGAGCTATGGGGTAAGATCACAGAGCCCAGACACTCGTGGATCACAGGGCTCACAGCTACCACCCCAAAGTGGGTCTTCTGTCTCCAGCCCCCTTGGGATAGGGGCCGGGGAGCCTGGGGCCAGCACATGAGGAGAGCGCAGCTATATCCCAGGCCAGACAGCTCTCAGGAGCACGCACTTGGCATACACACACACACACACACACACACACGCACACTCTTGTACATGCACTCTCACCTGCACACATGTGTACTCACACGCACACAGACCTGGAAGCCTTCAGAGTATGCTGTCTCGGTCTCCGTAGCCCTCCCTGCTCAGGTCCATGTCATGCCTACAGCACAGCCTGTCCTCAGCGTGTCCCCTTCTGTCCACTGCCCAGCTGGCTCAGGAAGGTGTCCCCTCCACAGCGAGAAGCTGCACCCCAGCCAGGTGACTCCAGGGGCTGGACTTTGAGGCTGCCAGGCCCTGCTCATCCCTTCCTGGGCCTCATGGTCACCACTGTGGGGTTGCGGGTCCTCTTTGTGCTCCCCTCACGGTACCTGGGCTCCATCAGGACAGACAGGCAGCAAGCCCAGGAACACTCACTGCCTCCGGGGCAGTGTCCCTGACCCAGCACCCAGGCCCACATGTCCAGAGCCTCCAGGGCACAGGCAGCCTGGGCAGCACCACTGCAGAGGCCCCAGGACAGCACAGGAGCAGAGCCTTTGGGGCCCCACTGTAGGCCAACTGTGAGCAGCAAGCTACCCAAGAGAAGTTGACCTTGAGACCAGCCTGCCCCATGGCCCACCGGCCAGGCCTCCTCCCCTCCACAGGCGCCCCGGGGGCACTGGGAGACTGGCCCAGGACTAGTGTGAGCCTTGGAAGGGGATGCTGGGGCTGAGCATCCCCACACCAGCCGGCACACAGCCTGGGAGCTCTGCCATCCTGCCCTCAGCCTGCAGGCACTCAGCTGTGCACTCTCCGTCCAGAGCCTGATGATGGGGAAGCCAGACAGCCCGGTGGGCATGGTGGACAGAGCCGACCCGGCAGGGCAGAAGCGCCAAGGCTTCCTGGAGAGAGGGCTGCTGCTCCTGCTTCTGCTGGTGACGGGCGCCCTGGTGGCCCTGGGCATCCTCTACAGCCGAAGTGAGTGAGGGGTCCCTGTGCTTCTCCCCACCTGCCACCCAGGAGGAGCCCCAGACCGTAGGGACAGGCTGCAGGAGGACACGGAAGGACACTGACCTGCAGGGTGCCGCGGGCCTTCCCAAGAGCTCCCGCGCAGCGAGGGCTGGTGCGGCTGCCTCTGGGGCTCCGCACCGCCCCTCTGCCTGGGCGGGCTAGACTCCAGACGCCTTGGTCGCCCCCGCCCCATCACCACCCCTGCCCGTCTCTGCAGCCCAGTGCTGCAGTTCCCTGCTGGCCCAGCAGCAGGAGCCCATGCTCCTGACTGGGGACCCTTCCACCAGCTCACCTGCCCGCCAACAGCAGAGGGCGGGATCTCCAACCCATCCTGCACCCTGGTGACCCTGCCCATGGCCCCGCATCTCAGGCCTCCTGTGCCTGGCTCTGCTCACTGCAGGTGGCGGGTGGGGGCCACCAAGGCAGACGCGTGGCCAGGGCTGCCCTGTGTGGCCCCAACTGTCCCAGGAACTGCTCCCCACTCTCCTCCTTTCTCATGATCCCCCCACAAGGCCCCGTGGAGGAGCTGATGCACCCTTGGGCTCAGGAACACCCCCAGCTGGGCAGCAGGCACCTGGGCGCAGTGCTCACCAGTGCTGGGGTGGTGGTACTCCTGGAGTGTGGGCAGGTACAGGGCTGCAGTAAAGCATGTACCTGGGCCTGACTAGGAGCAGGGCACAAGGACCTGTGTTCCTAGAATGTTCCCTGGGGGAAACAGTAGGTGCAGCTCCTGGGAAGCCAAAGTAAGTGTTGCCCGTGGCCAAATGGGCAGCCCTGGGCAGGACCCACAGGAGTGCAGCTGCTGCCTGGTGGCCACATGGTCTCTGCAGGGCAGGTGGGCACTGCCAACACCAGGGCAGGGTTTTGGGGTAGAGGAGACCCCATTATCCTGAGGAGCCAAGGCGGGGAACCTTTATCTGGGGCTCACTGGGCTCAAAACACCTGGTTCTGTGGCTTCTAGGAAGAGGGCTGGGGCCCTGACAGCCCCAGGAGACAAAAGCACTCCACACCAGCCACTGGCCTCTGCTCCCCAGGATCCTTCAAGTCTCCCCAAGGACTCTGACTGCTGTTCACCTGTCCCGTCTGTCTGTCTGGTGCTGCACTCTCCTGCAGCTGGGGTCTCCTTGCCCCCTCCAGGTCCATGCAGACTCTGGCTCCTCCACCAGGGTCCCTGACCCCCAGGAGTGACTCATCCTCAGTCCAGGAGGCACTGGCGGGAAGCTTTTTATGCAAGCTTGTTCTTATGCATGTCTGCATTTTCTCACTTCCATTGTGAGTTTGCGCTTGACTCGCAAGTTCTTTAGATTAATTTTTTTAATCTGTAGACACAGGTAAGCTCTAGTTAACTTTCTAAATTATGACTGGTTTCTGGCTTAACTGTGTTGGTGTGGGAAACCCTGGTTCCTGGCTGTACTGGGGGGATTCTCTGGGCTTCCTGTCCGTCTTAAGATTTACAGCCCTGCTGTGGGGCACACCCAGCCCCTAATACAGGGAGGGGTCCCATATCTCAAGCTCAGCCAACTCTGTTCTATTCACGTTCTTCCAGCTCTTTGTCCTTCAGATATTGAAAGGGGTGGGGCGCTCAGGCATGTGAGTGTGTGTGTGTGCGTGTGTGTGTGTGTGTGTGTGTGTGTAAAACTGACATAGATATTGAAAGGGGTGGGGCGCTCAGGCATGTGAGTGTGTGTGTGTGCGTGTGTGTGTGTGTGTGTGTGTGTGTGTAAAAACCTTACAGGAGAGAATCACCAATTTTCTGCAACATGTACGTGTACAGACTTCCCAGGATGAATGTATCAGTGTATACATTATGTGTTATAAATGTCCACTCATAAAAAATATTACCAATTTCCTGTATTGCCCATGTCAAGCACAAATTTACCTAACTTAACTCTTTAAGGTTTAACTTTTTATTACATGAATACAAATTTCAATGAATATTATAAACCCAGTCTCATAAAAGTAAGACAGCTTTCTATTTAGATAGATGCATGAAATCAGTCTATCTTCCTCTATACATCATCATGGAGTGACTCTTTCTGACCATACTTTGCCCTAAATTCTATTTTGCTGTAAAAGTTATCTGTCCTGCATGAACAGTAGTTATCACTGGCATTTGCTTACTCTGTGTCCCACATTCTTTTCTCTGGAAACTTTCTGTTTCTCATCCTTTGTGTGTCTCGCAGTGGCATGTGGCTGGTTTGGATGTCTGGCCTCTGGAGGATCTTGTCTATCTGCATTCACTGTCATTACTAAAATGTGCTTTTTTCTGAAATTCTTTTGACTTTGCTGTCTTTCACTCATATTGAAAAATAGTTATCATCTTTTCAAATATTTCCTCTCTCCTCTCCTCCCTCCTCTTCCCTCTTCTGCTTCTCCTCCTCCTCCTCCTCCTCCTCCTCCTCCTTCTCCTCCTCCCCATCTCTCTCTCCTCCCTGCTTCTTTCCTCATGAGGAAGTTGCAATAAGACCACAAGACTGGCCCCTCCCTGGGCCCCATCTCTCCCTCTTGGACACATTTCACCAGGACACCAAACCAATGTGGCTGCCTGATAGTGGGCTTTCAGCCTCCTGAAGTATGAACTGAATAAACTCTTTTCTCTGTAAAGTGCCCACCCCTTTTATTTTGTTATAGCAACAGAAGATGGACAGATACACTGCTCTGGTGGTGGACTGCTGCTGCTGATTGGTCCTGGGTTTATGCTGGAGTCAGGGCTCCCTGGTGTCCTGGCTGGTCTCAGCCATAGGCAGACCTGGTGTGCCTGGATGTTGGTGGAGCTCTCAGTATCCCTGCCCTTTCGCCCTTTAGAAAACCTTACTCCTGACCTCCTGCAGATCACAGGGGCTTTGCTGGCCCTGGGAGTGAGAGGGTGCTGCCCCACACAGCATCATCATTTGATACAATTGATACTAATCTTCATTTTTGCACCTCCCAGTTGGTTCCTGTGCTCATCACCGCTTACATCCCCAGTAGTCCATAGGAAACAACTTTTCTTTCTGAATCACATACTTTGAAGCCTGCTGTTCACAATATGGTTCATGGACAGTGATGTCAGGAGCATCTGAGATCTTCGTAGAATTTTGGAAATACAAGACCTACATGGGCTACTGGACCAGTGTCTGCATTTAGCAAGATCCCCAGTGATGCATCTGTAGTTTGGGAAGCTCCTCTCTAGGTTGTGGGTGGGCACTTACCAATTCACCTGACAATCAGAATAACTGGGGTTATTGTTAAAAACTCAGGCCTCCACCTTGCCTTGATCTGCTGAGGCTGCCTTAACACAATGTCATGGGCTGAGTGACTTCAAACAGAAATATGTCTTCTCACAGTTCTAGAGAATGGAAGGCCAAGATCAAGGTGCTGGTCACTTTGGTTCCTGGTGAGCTGAAGCTCTCTCTATGGCTTTCAGACAGCTGCCTTCCCACTGTGTCTACACATAGTAGAGGAGTTGCTTCCTTTTCTTATAAGGACACCACCCCTACTAGATTAAGGAGCAACCCTTATGACCTCATTTAATTATCATCTCCTCACATTTGGGAGGGACTTCAACACTGAATTTGAGGAGGATGCAAATATTCAGTCCATCACAAGCCCCACCCAGGTGGGACCAGGAATCTTGTAGAGCAAGACCTCCAAGTCTGTACCACCACAAGCCTTCCTTTCTTGTGTTCAGGCACTGGATATCCCTGCTGTACAACAGCCTGCCAACAGTAAATTCTTCATATCTGTGGGTATTAAAATCACTTAGTTTTCAGTCAGTTTAACTTGACCTACATTTTCTCTTTATCTTGAAGGCCTGTTTTCAGTGTCTGCTGACTCCCATCGCTACTGGTCAGAAGTTGGCTGTCAATCTAATTGCATTTTTCCACCAGGTAGACCATCTTATCTCTCTGAGATCTCCTCTCTGAGTCATTTTTGTCTTTGCTCTTCTGCATTTTTATCATGAGGCATGAGGCTATGAAATTACTTTTCATTGAGTTTGGATTTTTGTGACTCCTAGATCTGATCATTAATGGCTTTTATTAATTTTAGAAAACTTCAGCTAGCATCTTTTTAGATATCACATCTATTTTCTCCTGAAATTCTGATGACCTACATGCTCAGGTTTCTTCACTCTTAACATCCATGTCTTGATTTTTATGACATATTTTCCATCTCTCAGACTTTGTCCTGCATTCCAGAAAATTCTTTAGTACTGTATTCCAATCTGCTGACTCTATGGCTAGTACTTAACCTATTCGTTTTTTATTTGTGGCCATTTGTAAATCTCGACATCCACAAATTTTTATTCCCAGAATGTACAACTGATATTTTAAAAATGTGATTTTAAATGTTCTTTGTCCTTGTTTTCAACTATTTTAAATATTTTAAACATACCAGTGGTATGCTCTGCTTCAATTATCTATTGATACCTTAAAACACCCCAATACCAGTGACTTACAGTTACTTAACAGGACACACACCCATAGTTGGGTGTGGCCAACTGACCCTGGTCAGACTCATGTGAGCAGCTCTACCCCATGGAAATTTCATCCTGCAAGGACCTTGGTGTGCTTCTGTCCTGGAAGTGGCAGGAGTTTAAGAGGACAGGTGAAAACACACAAGCTTCTCAGGGCCTGGGTCCCAACTGGAACATGACCAGTCCTGCCTCATATTGTTGGCCAGAGCAAGTCACATGGGAAACTCACATTTGGGACAGGCCAAACATCCTTTGCTCCTTTGAAGGGACAATGATTGGGACCAAGACAGGGATGCAGAGAGGAGTCAAAATTTGGAACCAATATGCCATCTTTTGGAGCCAATAACTCACAAATATGAAACTCTTGGGTTCTGTTCTGCTGTTTATTTTTCATCATAGTTTATTTTTCATAAACATAGATCCATGTCTGATTTGGCTTAACCTGTGGGACTCTAGTGTTGTGTGAACTGAGAATATTTCCTCTGAGAATATGTGTTTGTTTCCATCAGGC